TTGCATGTTTTATGAATCTATTCACATCTAAATGCAGCACTTTTTTTTTGCAATGAGACATTTGTTTTTATTCTAAAATATCTGAATTACTTTGAATAAAGCTGGAAATTATGTTCCTTAAAATAATTAAACAAATAAGGCATGTTTTTGTAAGATATTTACATCTTTTAAGGACATTCGGTAGACTGGTTCCCCACTGTTGGTTCAACCCCAAAACTTGTTTGTATTCAAAATTAATTATGACAATGCATATTTATATTGAAACAAACTATGATAAAGGGAATTGTATTATATAACAAAGGGCAAGGTCACCAGAGTTCAACTATGTTTTTGCAAAATACTAGTCAGCTTATTGCCATTCTAGAAATTGGTGTGGAATAGGGGTGCATAGTTAGATAAACACCTCAATTTTTTGGTGAATACAGGCTTTAAAGTCAAGTAGGACATCAAGGCAATTGAATTTTGAATTTTAAATCCCGTAATTAATTTTGAACTTATTTATTATTTTATTGATGTTTCAAACCTCAAATGTGCCAAAACTTGACACACAAAAATCTTAGCAATATATAGATCCTAATTTACCCTAACTCAAATCATAATTTGTCGCCGAAACCTGTATAATCATAACATATTGCACTTGTGTCTTGCATAATTACTTTGTATACACAGATATCAATCAGCGTAAACCAAGGAAAGCAACACAGTTATGATTTCTAAAAAGGATTATGTTGTGTTTTAGCTGTATCTTGTGACAATTCCACAGGATAAGATTCCCCTCTTTGGAAGCTCATGCTACTGTAAAATACTTTATTTTCACTTGGAATTAATTTTCGCTATTTGCTGAAGGAATGATTCAGTGAAAATTAAATCCAGCGAATATACCTCATGTCCTATATTTTACATTCAACTCTCCAGAAATCTATGAAAATAAATTCCATACAAAACACCTAAAAAGTCTTTTTAGTGAAAATTAATTCCAGTTAAAATAAAGTATCTTGCAGTATTTAGTGTTTTATCAGTCGGGAAGGGTCTTACCTACTTCATCTTCCATTTTTATTCACTGATATTACCGCTGAGCACAATGTATATCCAAGTGATGTTCTTATTTTTAAATTTATCCATGCGATTGTGATATGAATCCAAGCTCCCGGTTTATAATTGGTTAATATGTGCACTTTGACCTTTGACTGTACAAGTTGATCAGCAGACAAATGTACTCTTATTACAAGTCAATTTTTTTTCAATCTTTACAGCGTCAGTAACCTCCAGGCCAAACTGCTACTGGGGTAAAAACTGTCGGACGCAGAGAAGCCGACCCCACCACGCAGCGTAAGTATACATATTAAAAACACTCACATTTCCCTGATAGGTTTGATTTCTATTTTATTAAAAATAGAATTGCCTGGTAACAAGTTTATTTTTTTGTAAAATACAAACTACAAATTGATGTTACACCAGAATATTACTTTGAAATGATTTCTTCTTTTTTTCCAGACGCTTCAATCATATATGTGACCAGAGTAGGAAGTAACGGAAGACAAATTTAATATAATTTGAAATGTATATTATATTTTTTGTACTGATTTTTTTTTTTTTATCATCAGAACATGAAGAAGTTTTTTTCAAAACATTTATAGGGTACATTCATTTTGGATTAGCCGTGGGTTTATAGCTCTTCTTCTTTAGTCTTTGTGATGGTGGCATAGCTATTTCTGATACATTTGGTGTCCTTATATTTGTTTTTAGTTATTAGGATTTTATTCACACAGAAAAGCTATGGATACACAAAACGGTATCGCAAATAAAAGTTGACAAAAGCAGAATATTTTGTCACATCACACCATCCTAGTTATCATCAATCAATAATACCGGTAATAACAAAAATGCTATGATTAAGAAAAAGACACAAGAGCGCTATAATGTTTCTATAGCCATCAAGAACAACTTCTTCGGATTTGAATGTAACAAAAGGGTTTTCTGGGGTGAATTTGTAATTGTGACCCTTTTGGGACTACTTTATTGTATGCGTCAGAATACATACTTTTGTAATGGTGTATGTCACCTGATCACCCAAGTGTATTGATAT